GTATATTAAACTTGCTAGCATTGTTTTACAGAAACCTTACATTATTACTATTTTTGCTGCATAAGTAATTTGTTTGTGAAAGAAATAACTAAAGTCTTTTCCTATAGCTAACATTCTGTAATTTTCTCTAGTTCTATAATTTTGTTTATAATATCTGTACCAACAGATCATTAAATGTTAACAATGTTTTTGTACTGGCTTTGATTTATCTTCATTAATACTTTTTGCCTTGGATTTTTATCAATATTAATGTTGCTCTCCAAGTTTGCTTTTGAGTAAGATTTTCCTTTTAGATATTTTTCCATCTCTCTACTTTGAACTTTCTGGTTCATTTTTTTCTCTCTAAAGTTAACTCTTTAAAAAATTTGCTGGATTAAAAATATTTGAGTTTTTTCAGGGTATGCAAACAGGTAAATATTTCACATATATTTGTAATTTTTGCTGCTGTATTTGGATCTCTTGATTTTATTTTAGCTTTTGCATTGTATCATACCTAAAACCAGATTGCCATAAAATCAATAATTCTATCTTATTTTCTATCTTCTGGGATTTATTTGCTTTTTATTACACTTTTATGCCTTTACTATTGATTAGTTTTTATTATTAATTTTCCTTTACTTGTCTAGAAAGCACAGATTTTATTTCTGTTTTTTAATGCCTACCATTTTTCCTATCATCATTAATTTTTTTTACGTGTTTTAAATAAGGAAATAAGATACTAAAATGTCATGACAAAGAAAACTACAAATCTAGGAAAACCTGAGCTCTGAAGAAATTACATTTCAATATTTATTCTATTTATTCAATAAATAAAATATAAACCAGAATAAAAGAATTGGCAAAACTGATGTGTGAGTCTATAGTTTGCATAAAGAATAGAGAACACAATGGCAAATGACTCAAAATAATTAGAATAAAGATAAAGGAATGGAGAACACATGTAATTAAACACAAGAATGACATTTCTGTAATGTGGAGGCTGCAAGAAGTGGAAAAAAGCAAAAATAAATGAAATTGAATTTAATTTCATGAAATGAATAAAGAACTACATTTGGGCATACAAACATGATTCCTGACTTTATAGAATGCATAATTTTAGATTAAAAAGTGATTAATATACCCACAATGACAACAGGAGAGATTCCTGTAAGTGAAATTTAGTAAAACCTATTTAAGGTGCAACTCTCTTGATACTGATACTTTATGAAGAATTTCCTGAGATCTGAAGAGTGGACTTGCCCTTATGAAATAAGAGGGAAACATAGTAACAATGGGTGAAGACCTGAGAGTAAACATGGAAGGTTTTAGGAACTGAAAATAAATGCATAGTTATGGAGTAAGTTATATCCTCCCAAGATTCATATATTGAAATCCTAAACAATCCCCAACAAACATCTCAAAATTATAACTATATTTGGATATAGGGCTTTTGAAGAAGAGATCAGGTTAAAATAATGCTGTACATGGGGGCCCTTCTCCAATCTAGTCATTTTCTTTGGAACTCAAGGACCTCTGCACTCAAAGACACATACAGGGACGTGCTCCCAAAGCATAGCCTGTGTGAAGACACAGCCCAGAAGCAGCCAGCAGACAGCCAAGGACAGAGGCCTCAGGAGAAACCCGACATGCCAGTTCCTTGCTCTTGGACATGCAGTTTCCAGTACCATGGGGAAATATCTACTGTTTAGGCTGCCTGTTACGGCAGCTCTAGCAAGCTACAACCTTCTGACGGGTGGGGTGGAGAGGGCAGGGAAATGAGACTGAAACTCAGTGTTAGATCCTGAAAGTCTTAAGCACCATGAAAGGAGTTCTCGGCTTTGTTCTAGGTAGGATGGCACACAGCTGAAGATTTTAAAATAATCCTGCATAGGGTGTGATCACACTTATGTTTTACAGAGATCCCTCTTGTTATTTTATGGGAAATGGCTCACAGAGAGGTCAGACTGATGGGAAGAACAATGACAAGGGTTCTGCAACAGCCATGCGCAGGGCCGAAGGCATCTGTCCTATGCTTTAACATTCCTAGCCCGCTTGCACATCATGTACATTTCATACTTTGCAGTTCTCTGTTCTCGTAGAAGTGTCCCTGTTTTCATTATAACATTGTGTAGTAGTTTACCTCTTTATGAGCAGTGATTAAAATATATAGCAAATGTCTAAATTAGAAAGCTTATTATAATAAAAGCCACATATCCATCAATCTCCCTCAGAAGATGCCATCTTCCTTTGAACACTTATCCTATAGTTCTTATCAGTCCCCAAAGTTGTTCTGGAAGTCTTCTTTCCTATTTTTATGAGGTATAATAAAAACTAGTGAATGCTGCTACCAAGTACCTTCCAAAGGAAAGGGAGGCTTATACAAACATTACATTGTGTCTCCATCCATCCTACTCACCAGATCTGGCATCATGCATCTTTTGGTTCTTCCACAAAGTCAAATGACCAGGAAAGATAAACATTTGGAACTGACTTGGAACACTGAGGCAAGTCACAGCAGTGCAACACATGATATGATGCCAGAGGACTGTCGGAATTGCTTCAGAGAGTGTGGAGAATGACTGGAAACATGTTCAAAGCAAGGAGAAATATTTTCAGGAGCATTGATGCAATGTGTCTTTCACTATGAACATTTTTTAATTTAAATTTTTTTCTGCACTTTTCAGTCACATTACATTAGTTTTTATCTACGTTAATTGCTGTGTTCTTTTATGGTAAATGCTACCAGATTTATTGTGGTTTTGTGATTAATATGTGGCATCTAACAAATATTGTTGAATAAATAAGTGGACAAGTCAATGAACGACGCGTTATCCTTCCCCAAAATTCCATAGTGTGGAGGTTGAATTTCATTTTAAACTCCTTACTCCACGGTTCATCCTGTGGTTTTCTGTAATAGTGTCTAGTGTTGATCTGCAGAGATGTGAAGCATTCATCTATTTGCCCGCCACAGGGAAATCAGATTTGTCATCTTCTTTATTTGATGCTCCAAGAAATTCTCCAACATTTTGCTTTGATTTATCCATTTAATGTGTTTTCTTTCTCTCCAGGTACCATGAATCATTCTTTTCCCTGTTTCTGACTCTGCTTTCTAAATCAGTCAGCAACTATGCTGTTACCTTGTATTTGGGACTTGTATACCATAGGTCAGGATTGATTTGCCATATTTGGGTATTTGCATTTTGTATTCATCCTTTGGTGTTGCTTTGTTTTCCTTCATGCTAAGGCTGCCTTTAATGCAAGTAGGATTAACATCTCCAACACATATCTGAATTCTCTTGAGACCCCTCTGATCCTCTAGTTGAACATTTCTGCACTGAGGTACACTTGCCTTTCATGCAGGGAGATTTACTGGATGAAGAAAGCTACTGAGTGTTATAGAGACTCTCCGTCTGACTTTGGATATCTTTGTCATTGCATACCCTCCGAAAGGATAAATGATTATTTAGTCACTCAGTGGAGGTTTGAGTTTTCCTGAACTGAAACAATTGACACAAATATAAATCTTGCGAGCCATTCAGTTTTAGTGGAAATGTTTTATTGTATGCTGCAGACTGAAAAAGATCTTCTGTCTCTGCTATGTATCTAGATAGATTGTATTTTCTGAAACGGATTTAAGGAAATGAGCAAGTGAATCTTCAACTTTGCAAATTTCAAACATTCATTTATATAACACATTTATTAGGTACAAACTCTATGCTAAAAGTGTTCTATTTACTTGTGTTAAATCATAAGTAAGACACATTCTCACTCTGCAGCAGAATGTTCAGTAGAGTGTGAAAGACAGACATGAAAATAACTGTGAAGTGCTGGGTCACTTCCATGACAAAGGTACACACACACAGGGCTGCCATCGTGTCCCAGAGCTCACTGTAGCTCTTTATGCTGCCCTGAGCTGGAAAGGTCTGTGGTCTGTCGTAGGGTCAAACTTGGCCCTTTGTAAGTGGACAGAAAAAAAAAAATTGATCTACCCAAGGTTAATGCTTTTGAAAAATTATGAAGTGAAAGTTTGCATATAACACTCAGGATAATGAATGGAAATGAAGAAAGAATTAGAGAGCAGAAGTGTTGCAGTGTTAATTTTGTCACCGAACACCCACCCACCCAGCCACTGGAGAAGTGACTATTTCAAAACTGGAAGACGAATGCTGTACCCAAAGGTCCGAGTGGGAAATGTAGAGATTCTCATTTTAGCATTTTAAGACTAACTGGCATATGTTCCTGGCAATTTCATTGCATAAATCATGTTTTAAATAAACGAAGTAGGAACAGTCTCGGAAAATCAGGACTTTCACATTTAGAACTTCAGATGTAAGCATCATGTTTTGATCCCTAAACAAGCTTCTTTCTGTTTACAGAGTATGTTTTGTCATAACAACTTATAAATTGAGGAGTGAAAGTTGGAAAAATTATCTCAGGTTGTACAGTGGAGGTGGAAAAAGAAACAGAAACACATATTTGGAGGAGTTATTGGGAGATAAAGATGGTATGAAAATTTTGAATACATTTACTGACCTTTTAGTATCTGTACCACTCACACACAGAGGAATGCTAATATAGTTCCTGTGCGTTGCAAGGTAAACCAGGATAAATCTACCCCACAAATAAATCTGTTTAGAGTGCTGGCTCCCAGACTTGTGGAACATCCTTCCAGAGAAGAAAAGGAACTGTCTTATAGGTTCTCCCTCCATAACATTCTTGAAAGCTAACAGTATTAAGTACTATCTATAGGCTAGGCACTGTTGTAAGTTCTAATGCATATGAAGTCATTATACCCTTGGAAGAATATGGGTTATGATCCCCAACTTCAAATGAGAGAACAGAGAGGATAAAGCACTAACCTAAGGCGGAAGTGGACCCGTCAGAATTCAGACCAAGGAAGTTCTGCTCCAGAGTACTCTGAGAATCTTAATCACTGTATGAATCATCTGGGTGATACTGGAATGGAATGTTGTTTCCATGGCAGCCAGAATGCCGTGGAAATCGTAAGAGAATAGATCCTACCTCGCTGTTTGGAGACTGTGTCTACATATGAAACCCAGAGATCTGTAATGTGGAATTGGACATCTCACCTCTTGGCTCTAAATTCATCCTTCAGTATTCATTAGGTAGCAATGGACTGGGTGGAAAACATTTCTTCTTAACAATCAGCACAACGTGAAGTTCTGTCAGTAGAGGGCATTGAGGACAAAGCTTTTTTTTTCTGATTCTGATCTCTTTTGGTTGCTGTACTTGCCTCACTATCTATGGTGTGCATATATCCATATAGGGGACATCCAGTTGTTTCTTGTTCCAGCTACACACCCAGAGCACAGTACCTGGGAAAATGACAGCCCAGACCCAAGACTAATGATGATTTTCTTGCTATTCTCCTGACGTGAACACCAAAAACTTCAGGTCTTGCTCCTGCAGTGAGGCACCCTGCTCTATGCCCATCTGTTCACCAGCAGTGATTCATTTGTCCCTTGGAGCCTGGTTGTTACTTGTTTTGTGGCTGTTGAAAAGATTTGCCTGGGAAAACCAGCCAACTTCCCCACCACCCAGTCATCTGCAGCTACAGGTTATTTGATGTGGTCCAGACAGCAGCACTGCAAGGTGTCTCTCTTCCAATATTGCCTTCCCTTCCCCACTCACCATCCGCCCGAAAGTCCCTACTATAGTTATTCTTCTACCATAGCTTAATAAGTATTTATATTGTTTCCTCTCTTTAAATAATTATGTTTTCTTGTTCCCAGTTGGACACAGATTGATGGAGAAGCCTTGCAGGCTGTGTACACTGAAATGCATGGTACACTGTTCCTGAAATACATATACAAGAGCATATCTCTTCATCGGTGTGAGAGATGATACAGGAAGCTAAGTCAAATGATGTGTGTGTGTGTTTCTGTGTAAATGTTCTAGTGGGAAGCAGGGGTTCTACAGATCTCTGTCCCAGGATGAGGAGAATGAAACATTGAGTTTTCCACAAATTAAACAATATTTCCTACCCATATACCAGCTTGAGCATTACACTGAAATAACGTGGCCCTCTTTTGAAAGATTCAAGTCCATGACTTAATGACTAGATTATACTTTGTGATGCTTGTTGAAATTTACAAGAAAGATAATGTGTGTTACATCCTTCAGAAATTGACTAATTCAAGTACAATTCAGAACAATTTACTAATACGCAGTGATTTATAAGGAGATTTCACATACTTAAGAATTTCAGAATGGAATGCACGAGAGAGTGGCCGAATTGAAATGGCTCTTACTTATCATGAAAAGGCAGAGCTGTTTTAAAGTCCCGTGACTAGAGCATCTGGGATTTGCATACGCTCATCCTCCAGTGTAACAGTGCCCTGTTGGCACCAGCTGTGACTGTCTCTGGGTGATACATCCTTTCACTGGGATTTGATCATTGTCCTTTAGCATAGGTAACACTGGTGATATGACAGAACAAACGGTATGCTTTCTATATAACAAGAAGGGTCACAAGGCAAGTGTTGTATCCAAATACAGCAACTGTGATCTTAGCATTCTTTTTTTTTTTTTTTTTTTGGTACTGGGAAGTAAACTCAGGACCTCATGCTTGCCAGGCAGGTGCTGTGCTGCTGTGCTATATCCACAGCCCCAGCATTCTTGTTTTGCCTGTACCCACACATTCATTCTATCTCCCATACTTGATTACAATACTGGGCTGAACTGTGAAATTGCTGATATTGGATCATTTTTGATCAATGGGAGATCAGGTTTATTTATTTCAATTTAATACAACTGTATCCAGAAATATTATGGTACAGATCTCAAAAGTGTCTCATATTTCCAGTATTTAAAAATATGGTCAAGAAACCATTATTACACCAAAAATGTACGGTAAAAGTTCTTCAGTCTCATAAAGTACTAATCAGCATTCACACTGCCTTGATTTCTACCTTTTTATATATGTTTTCTTTGCAAGTTTCTATTTTTTTGTCATATCTTCATTAATTTTTGTGCTGGGTTTGGTAGGTCAGCCTCACAGAGTGAGTTAGGAAGTCTTCTTTTCCCTTGTATTTTATGAGTATGTGTATGCTTGGTATCAATTTTAATTTAAGTGGTTGGCAGATCTTACCAGTAAACTCATCTTAGTCTGCAATATTCTTTGTGAGAAAGATTCTAAGTATACTTCAATTTCTTTGGAAGAGTTCTAGTATATTATTGATAGCTTCTATTTCTCACAGAGCTCAATTTGATTGTATTTTTGAAGAATTTCTTTTTCATTTTATGTTGTTGATTTTATCAGTATAAAACTATTTGTAAGCCAAGTTTGTTGGCAGATGCCTGTAATCTGAGCTACTTGGGAGGCTGAGGCAGGATGATTTCTAATTTGAGGACTGGCTGGGAAGACTCAATGACTTAATGAGCCCATCTCAAAATAAGAAATGAAAAAGGAAAAATGAAAAGGCTAGGGACAGAGCTCAGTGGTAGAGAGCTTGCTTAGCATGTGTGAGACCCTGAGTTCCCCTAGTAACACACATATATGCAAAAACTATTTCTAATATGAATTTTATCATTTATTGACCTATAAATCAATAGCAATTATTACTGTTAATTATAATTTCATTCTGTTGTCTGAGAACACTCTCTTCAAGATTTCAATATTGTTAAAGTGACAGGACTTGTTCTGGGGCCCAGCATACCTATTTTTGGTTAATTCAAGATGACTGTTTTTACTATTAAGATAATCTTCATCCACACAAGGTTTTTGTCTACTTGTTTATATTTGAAATCTTAATGTCTGTCTCTCCCTTTAGTACATGTGATAGTTAACCATGGTGTCCACATGAATAAGAAATGCCTAGCACGTTGGTTTAGCACAGTTCTGGGTGTGTGGATTGATGGATCCACTCAAACCACGAACCCCACCCTGGGTGTGAATGGCACCAACAAATAGGCTTGCAGCCTGGATGTAATAAAAAAGGAAAGAAGGAGGAAGCCTCATTTCTGCTTCTTCGGAGAACCTCTAGTCTCTGCTATCACCTTTCGACATCTGTCTCCAGGCTCCAGCACAGATGCTTCGATCTTCCAGTTCAGACTCTGGCTTTGTGATATGGATTCTCACAGGACTCTGCAGTGAACTTCAGTCTTTGACTGGATCCTCTGGTTCTCTAGAGCTCTTTTGAGCTCTTCCATACCTGACTTTGCAGGTAGTTATTGTAAGCCTACCTTGTAAATTATACATATATATCCTTTATAAATATATTTTACATGCATATCCTTTCTATATAATTTAATATTAATTACATTAAATCTGTTCCTCTAGTGGACCCTAACTGATATAAATAGTATTTACTTTCTCTTTCATTTTTTGTCTTATCAGGTGTGATGAAAATAAAAAATATTACAATAAAATATGCATTGCAATTAATCTCCCTCAGAATAGTCTCCCTTGCCTTGAACAAGTGTATTCTATTGTTCTTGCCCCTTTCTGAAGCAGTTCTGGAAGTACTCCCTCATGAGTGTCTTTTTGTGGTTGCCTCAATGTCCTGAACTAATTCAAAACACACATTTCCATCGAATGAAAACATCATGGTATATCCACATCCACTTTATTCACCACGTCAGGCACTGTGCCACTTCTGGCTCTTTTCCGAAGTCAAAATGACCATGAAAAGTAATATTTTAAAAATTTAAACGTTCACCATATTTTTATATGTGTTTTAAATATCCATTATTATAGGGATCTTCTTCAGTACTGTAGTAGAATTTGTCACAGAAACAAAACACACACATACACACACACTCTCTCTCTCACACACACACAGATATATATATATATGTATATATATATGTATATGTGTATATATATATATAATGTCATTATGAAAGATGAGGGCTCCCAGTCTCCCAGTCTGCAATCCAGTCCACAACCCAGACAGCCAGGAAAGTCAGCGATGTAGTTAGAAGACCCAAAAGCCAGAGAGATCCCACTTTGAATCTGAAGCTTCAAGAACTAGGAAAGCCAATGACAAAAGATGGGCTTCTGGATCCAGTGGTCAGGCAGGACAAATTCAACCTCCTTTATTTGCTCGGCTGTGTTCCATCCCTAGAAGGATGAGCTTTGCTCACACTGGGGAGGGTCACATGCTTTACTAAATCTACAAATTATAATTCTAATCTTCCCATAAAGCACACTAACAGAGCCACCTAGAAACAATGTTTAACTAGATACCGATGCATCCTGTACCCTAGTCAAGATGACACATAACTAACCATGGTAAATATTGAGACTTTTTCTTCACCCTTAGGTCTTTTATCTTTATAAAATTCTTTTCTGTAATTCCAGTGATCTTTAAACATTTTAAACAATTGTTTTATTTATTTACTTTTCTTCGAGACAGAGTTTCACTATGCAGTTCAGGCTGGCCTTCAACTTGCTTTGTATCCCAGGCTGGCCTGTAACTCACAGTGATCCTCCTGCCTCAGCCTCTGGAGTGTTGGGATTATAGGTGTATGCTACCACACCTGGCTCCTCCAGTGATCTTTCTTATTTTAAAGTTTGATGTTGTCAGAGCTGCTGTAGCTTTACTGAGTTTGATGTTTGAACTTTGTGTTTTTTATTCTTTTATTTCTAATTATGCATACCTCTGTATTTAATACATTTGTATATATACATATTCTGAAATTTTTATCTGGTTAGACTTTTTATGAAATTCTCATAGATAATGGAATGTATTTGTTGATACTGTTGGATACAAATCTATCATATCAATATTTTTTTCTATTTGTCCTCACTGTTTTTCTTCCTTTCTGTATACTTTCAAGTGATTTTAACATCCTATTATACATTATCTATTAGATTTTTTGCTCTAATTTTCTATTAATATTTAACATTCACTCAAGAAATTATAATATACTTTCAGAATTTACAAATATTTCATATATAAAATAAGAACCTTCTAAAATATATATCAGCCACTCTATATTTTGGTATTAGTTTAGTAATATATTATGACAGCTCTTATATGTAAAGTGACTATTGCAGTTTATTTCTTCCTTTAAAGTGATTTTAAGAGATATTATTACTGGCTAAAAATTCAGGATATTTTATTCATTCAGCATATTAAAATTTTGTTCTTTTTACATTTTTTGAATAATATTAGGCCATAATTCTTATCTTCATTCTTTGATTGCCTTCATAATTTTTTTGCATTACCTGTGGTTTGATATCCTTTGGATAGGTGTGATAGGCTTAGGTGTGATTTTCCTCATATTTACCTCCTTGTGGTTTTCTGAGGCTCTTGGGGCTATCAGTTGATGTTTGGGTCAAACTGAGAGAAAATTCAGCCAGTGTTTCTTCAAATATTTTTGAGCCCCATTTTCTTTTTCTTTTCCTTCTGGAACTGGTACATTTATACACATGGTCCTGATACAAACCCATAGATGATTTGGGCTTTTTAATTTTAATTTTCCCTCTACCTGCTTTTGGTTAGAAAATTCTCATTGACTTCTCAGGAAGTTTATTGTTTCTTTCCTTGCTATGCTCATTTTACTGAATTCCATTCATAGAACTTTTTATATCAGATGCTGTAGTTTTCAGTTTTAAGATTTCCATTTGGTTCTTTTTTTTTTTTTTTTTTTTGGTACCAGAAATGGAACTCAGGACCTTGCACTTGCCAGGCAGACGCTTGTGCCACTGAGCTATATCCCTGGCCTTCCATTTGGTTCTTCCTTAGACATTTTATTGCTTTTTAAAAAAATCGGTACTTTTTCACCTTTTACGAACTTTTTCCCTGAAAATATTTTTAAATATTAGTATACTAAGTTCTTTGTTTGTTAATTCCAGCATCTGGATCATGCTTAGATTTTCTTTCAAATTGACACATTTTTCTCTTGAATACAAGTTACATTTTTTTGGTTCAGGGCATGTATAGCAACTTTTGTTGTACATTGGATACTCTATCTGAAAGGTAGATTCTCTATATTTTCTATTAGAATTTATATATTTTTGACTTTTACTTCACAGGAGGT